CCAAAAACCAACATTCTTCTACGTATGTAATGCTGTGCGTTGGGTAACCGCTTACACGCGAAGCTCATTTAACAGATTCCTTATGTGACAACTCTCAAGCAATGCCAAGTATAGGTGCATTCCTTATCTTTTTGGACTAAAATCTGAAAAGTGTCAAAATGCCAGAGCGTAAGCAAAATGCGCTCACTAAAAGAGAATAACAGGAAAAGTAAAGGAACGCAAAAAACCAAATTTTTAGTCCAAAGAATGGCAACAACAAAACTAACGTCAAATAAGAACAGAAATGTATGTACAAAACACATTCACACAAGCACAAGCACAATAAACACTTGCTATATCAATTATTTTTTGCCTCCTTCCAATTTCAATTCATTTCTTTCACTTTTTAGATTATTCTCACTTTTAGCGTAGTCTTTAATTTCCGTTAATTTAAATTCAGTTGAGTTTGACACTTTTCAGGATTTTGCCAGAAAAAATTCTTCTGACTAAATCTGACTACTTCGGACTGATGAGAGTCACTCTCACTGACTGTTGCTCTCTCATTTTTGCTGTCATTTCCGAGTTAAGGAACGCTTTTTGGACTAAATCTGACTACTTCGGACTTTTTCTGACTATTTTTGGGAGATAAGGAACGCTCCTTATGCATAACGGAGCCTTTACGCACTCATCGGCGCGACCAAGAGCGCCAGTCACCGAGCTTGCCAGAGTGCCACTCACCAACGCGAATAGAGTGCTACTCTCCGGCGTCACCAGGGCGATACTCGACGGCGCGACCGAGCGTTAAGCTGATGTCACATAAAACTTTTGCTTCGCTTTACGTGACAGATTCGCTTTGACAGATAAGATGAATTGTATGAAAATGCACAAAGCATGCCACATAAATCGTTGAAGCGGCAGCGCGAAGCGAAAAGATGGTAAACTCCCATCTTTTTGCGCGCTTTGACAATCAGCCGGTTTAATATTTATTTTGTTTCGTCCAAATTCGGGTTTTCATGCAGAAACATAAAACTTAATTACATTGCTGATAATTTTAAATCAAAATAATTAAAATCCACAGCAACTTTGATGAGTAAAAAAGCGGTACAACATTGTTTTCTTGGCGTTCATTGTGGCATACCTTTTGCGTCTGGCGCTTTGCTGGCAAAGTTATAAATGTCACGCAAAGCTACAAAGTTTTATCTGGCATCAGCTTTACTCAACGACGTTGGCTGAGCGCCTCTCATCCGCTATCTCCGGCATTGCAAGAGCGCAATATACCGGCGTCACCAGAGCGATACTCACCGACGTTGTTAGAGCGCGTTGTATCGACGGGGCCAGAGCACCACTTACCCACCGACCGGCGTCAGCAGAGCGCTGCCCACCAGTACTAAAGCTGAAATTAGTCAAGAACGCAGAACGTATACTTAAACGCAGTCTGTATACGCAGAATTTTGTCGATTACTGGAGCCCTCAGTGTTGCTTACTACAGTGTTGCCACTCATCAATGCCTTTTCATAAACTTACCTTTTCAACTACAATTTTTCGTGCTATAATAGATCGTAGCTAAATATAAACTACTTAGTTTTCAACAAAAAACTTTATTCAATAGTAAATTTCAAATATTTTAAACGTATTTTGAATAGGAAATTATACCTTTTTTACCATTTGCGAAACTGACGAAGTGGCAACCATCTATAGAAGGAAGAAATCAGCTGACACGGAAAAATCTAAATTCCGCAGATTTCTGCGCTACGGGCTACAACTACAGAAAAATTCTGCGGTGTTGAGATTTCATTTACATGGTAAGACAGATTGTGTCAGCTGACTCGGGTTTACGTACCGGTAGGTTTACGTTCTTGACTAATTTCAGCTTAAAGCCACGCCACTACGGCATAACGGGCCAGTAACGGTACACGGAGCCGTTACCCAGCTACCAGAAGCGACATTACTGGAATTTTCCGCCGTGATCTTTTCTTTGTTATATGTTTATAGAAAATAAGGAGGTTAGTCAATAAAGTACGATTTACTAGAGCCCCGAAACTACAAATTTATTGTAACGAGCCCTGGACACGGCGAGTATACCCCAGCATTGCAGAAGAAGCATCGGGGCAACAAAAACGCAATCACAAAACACAATCAAAAGTACCATCCAGGATTAAATTATAATAAGGCAGGAAATTTTACACTAGAATTATTAACTATTACACCTTTTCAAATGGAATAAATAGCAACTTGTTGTTACCGCTCGCCCTGTTCATCGGATTTAGTGGATAACTTCTTGCTGAAATGAGCCAGATGATAATGGAAACACTATGTTTTCAAGGACATATGGACGCAATTTTTTTTGATGATTTTAGCAGTTTTGAAACCGAGACATCGTAGTCGTAGTGGTAAGAACAGCCCAAAATTATTATGGAACTTAGTCGAATTTTCTGAACTTTTGTACAAAGATTGAGGTTTGGACTTATGGTTTTTGTTAGTAACGAGCTATTCTTTCATAAAAAAAAAAGAAGTAATTTTTAAACAAAAAACACAAGCGACTTCAATTCTCATATAAAAATTGATCGCAAGGCGAATTAATATAAGGTGATAGCAGGAATACAAAAACAAAATTTTACATGTATTTTGTTTTTGCTTTGGCGGCATAAACTGTCAAAATCTGTAAGAGTGTGTGTAGAAATTCAAACAAAATTTTTCAATTTGATATCAGAAGCCGTGCGGCGAAACACATACACAAAATCAGCTGAGCTAGTAACACCACCTTATATAAATTCGCCTTGATTGATCGTCAATAACAAGGCGAATTTATACAAGGTGGTGTTGATGGCGAATTTAGATTTTCGCCGCCGTACTTATTAATGTCAAAATGATGTGTTTGTTGTAAACAAGGCGAATTCATTTTATCATATTGGTCAATAATTAATATGAATTCGCCTTGTTTACAACAAACACATCATTTTGACATTAGAAAGTACCCCGGCGAAAATCTAAATTCGCCATCAACACCACCTTGTAAAAATTCGCCTTGGCATGATCTGTAGTCGTTGGTTCTGGGTATCAATATTCAGTGTTGCCATCTCTTGATTTTCAAAAAGCACCAAAAACTTGGAAAAAAAGCGTTTTACCACACTAAAAGCACCAATTTTTTTTGAATCAACCCAATAAACACCAAAAAAATATTTCTCCAACCTTGGAGAAATTCATAGTTCTCAAGTTGGTATCCAACATCATTCTTCAACTCATCTCTAACCGACGCGCAGATACGTAAAAAGTGATAGAGAAACGAATTTTTAATTATCAAGTGAAAAACGAAAGCTATATAAAGAGGAGAATTACCAAAAAAAAGTAAATAATCTTCAAAGTATCCTCAAATAATCTGGAAAGAAAATAAAACGCGAAATGAATTAAGTGGCAAAATTACTGTCGGACTGTATACTGAAGTGAATTGTTGTAATACGATATTGATTAACTACATAATACAAAAGGAGTAATAAAATGAAAAATGAATATTTAAATTCACCTATGTATGTCGTTTCAATCAAAAAGGTATAAGGTATTTTACTATTTCAATTTCAGTATTTCAATGATATGTTTGAGACCAATTGGAGAATTACATTGGAGTTCAAGTTGAGAAGTAGCATTTTCTCAACTTGAGAAACAGTCCTTTTTTCTTACAAAGAAATATGCCCTTTTTTTTGAGAACGCTATGATCCTCCACTTGAGGTACTGTTGAGAAACAACGTTGGAGATTTGAGAATTACCTTAGTTCTCAACTTAACCTCAAGATGAGCTCAAACCTAAATGTTTATTTGGAGGGAATGCTTTTTTCATAACATAATACCGAAGTACTGCACATTAAAACTGGTATATCTCGAGAAAGTAAAATCGAATCGCATCAAACGAAAATGATGCCCTAATTAGAAATGAGCAAATAATTTGATTTTTTCATTATATAACCTCAAATATCGCTAAAAACAATGTTTTTGGCACTTTGAGGTTAGGATATCTCAAAATTCTAGTGCTAGAGCAATTGTGAGGCCAGATTTGGATTCAGCACCAAGAAACGATGTGTTTTACTCAGGTGGTAAAAAAAAACAAAATTTGTACAAATAATTAGAAAAGAAAAGAAGAAATACTTAACTTACTTGCCTACTAGCATTTTCAACGCGAATAGAATTTAACAAGGTGGATTTCCAACTACAGCTTTTTATCAATCATGGTTGTATTTTAGTCCATTTAAATTTGTAGATTCTTGTAAATTCAGTTAGTCTGTTCCTTTGAACTTCGGACTAAAACCTGTGGAACTGTCAAACTACAATTTTACGCTCTCAAATGAGAGTAAAAGGAGAACAGATGCAGAAGTGCATAGGAACGCAAAAAGCACTATTTCCTGTAAAAACGTCAGACGGTTTGTTTACATGTCATTGGTACTACACCGATTTGGCTGAAATATCACTAAATAATTATTAAAATTTATACATATTCAAATATTTCGTTGTTTACTTCCATTTTTTAACAAATATAAGCTTCTTTGCTTTCACTGCTTTCTGTTTTTGTTTGCAAATGTAAATCAGCTGATCGTTTGACACTTTTCATGAACTTACAGGAAAAAAATCTCCGGACTAAATCCTGTAACTTCTGACTAGGAACAGTTGCTCATTTACTCTCTCAAATGTGTTCCCACTTACAGGTTTTGTGTCAATAGGAACGACTTCCTGTAAGTTCTGATTAAATCCTGTAAACCGGACTGCTATTGGAACAGACAAAGTGCTGCCACAGCCTTAAATATTTCCAATTATTTCAGGTTTTAACTATCTCGAAGTAATTTTAGTTCAGAAAAATCACTAAAAAAGGCACTAGGCACTAAATAATTTTTTTTGGCGTTTTAATTTTCAAAAAGCACTAAATCTAGTGCTTAAAGCAACTAAGTCAATATTCTCTGCACCCTAGTATCGAATACCGATTTACGCAGTATCAAAACAAAAGTATCGATAACAAGACTATATCAGTAGTATCGCAACATCCCTAATCAGAGGAGAACAAATTCCATTAATGAAATGTTAATGATTTCTTTTATTTGTATAAATATTAAAGAAGTCATATATAATTCAATTTATTACTTTGGATGATCATCAATAGGATTAATATTTATTCGACCTTATGGTGATGTAAAGGGGTACGAGATATTTTACGCAGTGTTGTGAAAATTTTCCAGATCTAAGTGAACGAGAAAAGGAGAACAAGACAAAAGTAAAAGGCAACAAGAAGGCTGGTTGATGAGCAGTGGCGCATTGACTCCACTGTTGAATAAAAGCAATTTACGTAAGTTATTTAGTTTAGACTATATTAAAGACAATAAGATGATATAAAATTAGCATTTTGTTCTGCAATTTGTACTGGCGAGTGCTGTATTTCCCCAGAGAAATTTGACCCCGACACAAAATGCGGAAGTAGGAGAGGAAATAACGGGGTAGTGAATCACCCCACTAAGTTGTTAGGGCTAACTAGTTTGAGCCAGCTCCTTAAGAAAACTTGAAGTAAGGGGGGCGGTCGCAAAAGCTTAATTGAAGGAAAATCAAAGGATTTATTTTAAGTGGGAAGAACAGGTTGTTGTGTAGAAAAAGTGCAAACTTCAATAGCATATGTATGATATGTATGCATGAACGAATTGGTTCATGATATGTTTGTGTACCAAACCTGGTACTTTTTTCAGTATCTATTGTGAACTCTTACTTAGGGCCGGTTGCTCAAAGCCCGGTTGACACTAATCCCCGGTTAAACATCGTTATCGACGTTACCGACACCGTATTATATGTATGGAGTCGAAAACGTCGATAACGATGTTAACCGGTGATTAGTGTCAACCAGGCTTTGAGCAACCGGCCCTAAATCTGATTGGACTGTGGCTGCTGTATTCGCAAGTGACCAAAACAAAAGAGACCAAAACGTCAAAAAACGTCAAACGAAGACAAAGTGCAATTTTAATAATCATAACATTTTGTGTTCTTTTTTTTGCACTTTGTGAATTATTTTAATTTTTTGTTTTCTTTTCAGCGCAATGGAAGAGAAACGAATTGCTGATTATTTTGTAGTAGCTGGTATGCCAGAACATCCGCAGTTGTTACAGGAAAACATTTTTAGTGAATCGGGTCATTTGAGAGCAGCTAACACCATAGAGCCAATTACAGATATTGGTGTATACTTTCCCTTGCTTGATGAAGAAGTGCCCGACGGCTATGAAGTACTGGAGACAACACCAACAGGACTGCCAGCGAATCTTAACCATGGTTCAATGCGCACAACGGAATGTTACATTTATTATAGGCGTGGTAAAGATCGACCGCCTTTGGTAGATATAGGTAATGATTGCACTTTAACTTAACAACCTTATGAGTTACATGAAATTCATGAAATTTCTTCGATAGGTGTTTTGTACGATGGCCAAGAGCGCATAATGTCGGATGCCGAGATAGTCACAGAGACGCCTGGTGGTCGCATAGCAAATGTTAACAATTCTTCTTCGAAAATTTTTCTTACGTACCGTCGAGCACGACCTGATATGCCCTGCAATGAGCTCGTCGTCACTGATTTGTGTGTTATCGTGCAAAGCAAAGGAGAAAAGCCGCCGCACGCATTTTGCCTTATTTATAAAACGCTTAATAAGGGTTACATGGGAAGCGATGTATATTTATGCTACAAAAAATCGATGTACCGTCCAAGATTGATCAGTTACCAGCCAGAAATACTATTGCGGTATCCAACAGTAGATCACAATGATTTCCCCTTAAATTTATGCCCAAGTGTGCCGCTATTTTGCCTGCCAATGGGTGCTTCTTTAGAGGCCTGGCCGCATGTAAGCGATGGAGAGAAACGAAAACCTATCAGTCCAGTGTTTAGTACTTTTGTGTTGACTGTCAATGACGGTTCTTATAAAGTATATGGTTCCGCGCTAACATTCTATGAGGATTTTGAGTAAGTGTATAGATTAATAACTGATGCCCAGTAGTATTAATTTTTTTTAGGGAAAGTGAATTGACTGCAAAGCAGCGTGAATTACTGTGCTGGGATGAGGCGTTTGCAAAACATAATTCATTGCATATAATTAAATCTATATGCCTTTTATCGCACTATCCATTCGGAGATACTTTCGACCGATGGCTTCGTTACCTGCAAGTGAGTAATATAAATCATAGGATACATTATTTTCCAAAGTAATTACTTTTTCTTTTATAGCGCTTAGCAGTGCGTGGTGTAGATTTACCTGTTCCCATCGAACGCTATATAACTCAGTTGCTCGATGAAGTACCGTTTCCAGCGCCTAGCATACACTTACAAGTAAATTGTTCATAATTATCTCGTTAATAATTACGGGTAATAAATTTTACTAATAAATACAGCTCTCTAGCGAGTCCAATGACCGCATTCTGCTTACGCAACCAGAAGACTCGCCTTTGCCACGTAGCGGTGCTGGTTTCCACATGTTGCTACAGAATTTGGGTACTGATAATTGTTTACATGTCTTGCTGCTGGCGTTAACGGAGCAAAAACTTTTGATACACTCATTACGGTTCGTTGCTTGGAAGAAAGTTATAAAAATGTAATAAATTAAAAAAAAAATTTTAGACCCGCTACGTTAACTGCAGTTGGAGAAGCTATTGTATCGCTGTTATTTCCCTTTAAATGGCAGTGTCCGTACATTCCACTATGCCCACTAGGCTTGGCGGAAGTCTTACACGCGCCTTTGCCCTATTTGATTGGAGTTGATTCCCGATTCTTTGATTTGTACGAGCCTCCGCAAGATGTTACTTGCATTGACTTGGATACAAACACAATCAGCGTTAGTAAATTTAATACTTGGACTCCTTTTCCAATTTCTCATCTACCCCTAATTTTTTTTCAGTTGTGTGAATCACAAAGGCATTTAACGATAAAACTGTTGCCTAAACGTGCTGCGCGTTTCTTGCGACAAAGTCTTAACGAATTGGAAGGTCTGAAAACTACACACATCGAATCAACAAACAGCCTTGATAGGGATCTTAGAAAGCGAAAACGCGAGGTATCTTATCAATAGATTTAAAATTAATACCTTTCAACTAATTTAACTATGTTTTACACTTTTCGGCACCTCAAATTAATTTAATATTTACGATGCGAGTCTAATTTGGTATTTCGTTTCATTCTCATTTTCTTTAGCAAGATCTCGAACAACGAATTCAAGAGGCCTTTTTACTGTTTATGGCATCAATTTTACGCGGTTATCGCGATTATTTGACGCCTATATCGAAGGCGCCCTCTGTTGGCGCCACAGATCCGAGTGCCTTATTTCAACTGAAGGCCTTCTTGCGATCGCGCGATAAGGCGCATCAGAAATTTTTTGAGCTTCTCATGAAAACTCAAATGTTTATACGTTTTATTGAAGAACGTTCTTTTGTATCGGATGGTGATCATGGGCTTACATTTTTCGATGAATGTGCCGAGAAGGTGGGCGCATATGATGACACACCGTCCGACTTGCGTTTAGTTGATTGGGAGTCTGGGCAGAATAGCGAACGTACCAAGTACATATTCCCACCTGACAGTGTAGGGCCCAAACAAGGTTAGAGCGGAAATATTTTACAAAATATTTCAGTTAAATGCTTTAATATTACTTTACTAGTAGATAATTCTGGCGTGGTTTATAACTATGCAAAATTCACACTAAATCCAAGTCTTTTGAAGTCGTCGAAGAAGACTGCGCTGACGAACTTTTTGCAGCAGCAGTTAAATGGCTCTCTAGCGCCTGGATCGCCGATAGCCCGCCGCACAAAACATGAAATTAAACTCTCGCATAAGATGGCACGTCGTTGTCAGATGCATCCCGAAGCATGGTCCAAATATCTGCTAGCGACTTGTTATTCGCTTTATTTCCTCATACTCCCGTCCATGGTAAACGACACGCATCAAGCGGGAAAAGAGCATGACATTTTGCGCGCCGCGTATAACATGCTGGTGCGCGCCTCCAAACTTAAAATCACCTGTGATGAATTTTGTTACCGTATCATGATGCAATTGTGTGGGATACATAATTTACCCGTGCTGGCAGTGCGTCTTCATTATCTCATGAAACGTTCGGGTGTACAGCCCAATGCACTCACATACGGCTTCTACAATCGCTGCGTACTTGAGTCGGAATGGCCCAGTGATAGCACGACGCTTAGCCAGCTACGTTGGAATCGGATTAAAAATGTTGTACTTGGTGCAGCGCATTTTAGACGCGCGGGTAAAAGATATGCAGCTAAGAAACCACTTTCAGCTTCATGCGAAAATAACCTCAGCACATTAGAAACAGTTGATGGCACGTCGCGCACCAGCCTCGATTCATCAACGTCTTCGCATATGGATCGAGGCGCTGGTGATGCTCACACATACGGCGCGAACCTGCTGGATTTTTCAGCATTCGACAAACTGCGTGGAAAATTGGGAAGCATTGTGCGTCAATCAGCGATGGCAGTAAGTGCACAAGACCCTGGTGGCGATGTTATTAGTTCCACTGCGGGACTTCTGATATCTGGGGACAGCAAGTCCAACGGAGGCGGCGAAAAATCGGGGAGCGAAAAAGGCGCCCCACCTACATCCACATCTTCGCCACACACACCCATTAGTCCACACAGTCCCAGTTGTGATCTGACCGCTGTTGGCGCAGGTGGTAAACTACAATTAGCGAAGACAGAGAGTTTCGGAGGTGATGCGCAACTGCTGAATAAATTACAACGCAAACAATCGCTGCCTACCGAAACAATTGGGCATCGATATAAAATAATGAATATTGGCGATGGGGAAGATGACACAGCCGATGAAGAGGCGTTAAAAGAAGATGAAATGGAGCAAGAAATTGCCAGTTCACAGGAGGAGTTGGACTACGTGGTGGCGGGTTCAGACATAAATTCAGCGCATGCCCAAGCGCAGCTTTTACAGAGCCCCACGAAGTATGAGAAGTGCTTGGCGCAGTTTACTCAGAGAAAGGAAAAAATAATGACATATTTTTTTACTTTGCTTTCAGAATATCGCCACGTACACCGGTAACACAAAATGATCCTCTAGGTGCTCTAAACGAGGAGCTTCAAGATCAAAGTACGCCTACAAATACCGTACACACCAAAGAGACAGCAAGTGAACAACACGGCGAATCAAATAATAGCACCATGTTTACCGATAAACCAATTTTATTCAAAGGACAACGAAGTGCAACCTTCGACGAATCCACCCAATTGAACAAAAGTATGCAACGGTCAGAAACAATGCCTGGATCCAGTGTGGCATCGAGCTTAGCCAATTTTGGCTCGTCTTTGAAATTCAATTTCGGGTAAATATTTGCACAAACTTAAACAAATTCGTTTCCAGATATAAGCGCTAATTTGCAAATTATGAAAAAAATAGCTACAATTCAAATACTTTGACACAATAGAAATACAGACCAAATTGTTTTTTTATTTTTTATTTGAAACGTTTTAAAAATATTCTAATGTTTCGTAAATTTAAAGCATGCAACTGTATGAGTTTTCTCCTTTTTTTTGTGCAATCAGTCGTTTTGTACGATCACATTTGAATGCTTATTACGCGCGCTGTTTTGTTCTTTTTTAATATAAGTTTTGAAATATATTTTAATTTGCTATTTTTATAATTTCATAACAACTTCCCCATTTTTTTAATGAATCAAATTTGTACAATGTTTTCGTAGACGTTATTCACCTGCACGATTCTCATTTAAGAAAGACAGTTTCAAGCCCACCATTATTATAGAAAATATTTCCAATATAAGGTAAGTGCCATCGTCCAAGAGCAACAGATTCGCTCTGTGCGTCCAGTTTTTTAGTTTATTTTGTTCTATTCTATTTCGGCGCCACACTTTTAGGTATTGATACTTTGTTACACAAATTAAACTTCTTATTTCTTTACACAAAGTACCTAAATAAATAAGTTTGCGGTGGTGGTTTTGTTCGCTCTTAGTTTTTTTAAATCAACGCCAAGGAGATTAGCTGTGCACACTCAGGATGTTACTAAATATTTTAAAATT